GAACAATAGTGATATGATATGGAAAGGGCCTTCAGGAAAGATACTTCCAATTTTACATTAGCAGTATTACCTTTAACCAATTTGATATTTATATTGAAAAACTTGACCAAAACACACTGATCAGGTATAAAATCCTCCCTTCCAAATTATCCACAGATACCATGTTAAGAAAACTCTCTGACTGTAATGTAGCATGTTTTATTAATTGTTTTCAATCTCATAACTTCTTAACTAACTTTCTTTTGTTCTGCTTTAAGGTTTTACCTCCTCCTCCCCTTTTCACCCTCCCCACTATAAAAGGAGTTATAGATATTTCTTGGAAGTAGGATGGGAAAAGTAGGTGCTCCCACTTCTGGCGTTAGGTATTTTTGATAGGTTCATGGAAAATTGCAGTTGGATCATAGGATCATATGAATATAGGGAAGTAAAGCTGGAAGGTCATCTAGTTCAGCCCCTTGCTCAAGGAGGGGACTGTACCTCACTGAACCATCCCAGCCAAGTGTCTGTCCAACCGGCTCCTGAAAAATTCCAAGAATGAATATTCTACAATGTCTCTAGGGAGCTTGTTTCAATGCTTGACCACACTCATAGTCAGAAAGTTCCTCCTAATTTGCAACCTACATTCCTCTGCTGCACTTGAGGCCTAGTCCTGTTCCCTATAACTATAGAGAAAAGTCTACCTCCATCCTCATTATAATTATCTTTCAACTATTTGAAGACTATTATCAAGTCCACTCTGAGATATCTCTAAATAAACCTAGTTCTTTCAGCCTTTCCTCACCAATTTTGCTTCCCAGGCCCCTAATCATTTTGGTTGTTCTGCATGGACACACTATAATCTGTCCAAAACCTTCTTGATGTGTGGGGTGCAAAACTGGACATAACACTCCAGGTAAGGCATCACCAGTTCTGAATACAGTGGATGAATCACTGCCTTTGATTTGTAAATGACAGTCTTGTTGATACACCCTACTGTGCTGTTGGTATTTTCCAAAACTTGCATATTACTAGTCATATTCAGCTTATGAACCACTGTAACTCCCAGGTCCTTCTCTTCAGTATTGCAACCAAGTTAATCATTCCCTAGTTTGTACTTGTGTATATCCAATAGCATAATCAATAGGATTGTTTGGTACCTCCAGCACACCCAGAGACAGGTTTAGTAGATTGCTACACTATGCAATGATCCAGGCCATGATCCACCCCACCGATTACTACCCCATGGTCCTAATCTATGTGGGTACTAATGATGCGGCCAGGAGAAGCCCTGATCACCTGATGGTGGACTTCCATGCTCTGGGGGGCATGCTGAAGGAGATAGGTGCACAGATGGTATTCTCTTTTGTCCTACCAGTGAGCAAACGTGGAAGACGGCATGAGACGTGCATCACAGAGACCAACTAGCGGCTTCGGGAATGGTGTCTTGAGTCATGCTTTGGCTTCCTTGACAACGACCTGCACATCACAACAAGAGACATGCTCAGATGGGATGGGCTCCACCTTT